CCTTTCTTTATTTTCTTTTTTTCCTTCCTTCCTTCATCCTTCCTTCCCTTCTCCTTTCTTTTCTTTCCCCCCTGGAGCTTAAAATAGGACTTTAAATACAATTAAGAACATATATTTTTTAATTTCCTGATACCATTGACGTTCCAAGCAAAAACGAGTCTCTGACTCAGCTGTTTCTTATTCTCTTTCTCCACGGCAGAAAAAAGCAGAGGAAGCTCACAAGATCTTTGAAGGTTTGGGACCTCGAGTCGAACTGGTGAGTCCTGTGGCTTTTTCCCATTGCAAGTGGGGAAAAGGGGGGTTGTCAATGGGGATTGCAATCGCGACCATCACGCCATCCCTTTTCTTTTTGCAGCCACTTTACAACCAACCGTCGGACACCAAAGTGTACCATGAAAACATCAAGACGTAAGTTTGGCCCATGCTATAGCCTTTCCCTTAGGTTTACAATGCATCCTGGGAAGGGTCCGCCGGAAAAGCCACCCTCTTTCCTGTTGAAAGTGATGGGTGTTGTGATCCATACAATATTTAATACTTCAGGGCTGGGAAGGATTGCATTGTGGAGGGCGCATCCCCCAGAATCCCCATTGCCAGGCATGCTGTAGCCTCAAACCACAACTCATTCAAGCTTTGATGTGTGCAAATAACATTTTCCTGCTTGGTTTCATATGGACTTAAGAGGAGTCTTTTGGAAGAAGACAAGTTCCCATTTTATCAGGGTCCCACCCTCTATTGTTGTCGTTATTAATATATTATTATTATTGTTGTTGTTGTTGTTGTTGTTATTTTAAAGCACTTGCCTTGTTGCATAGTCTATTTCCCTACCTATACATCCATTTCCAACAATCACACAGCATTACACAAATAGTCCCATCCCATCAGGGTCCCATTCCATATTATTATTATTATTATTATTATTATTATTATTATTATTATTATTTTAAAACATTTGCCTTGTTCCATAGTCTATTCCCATATCTATACATTCCTTCTCAACATTCACACAGCATTACAAAAATAGTTCTGTCCCATCAGGTTCCTGTCTTCTATTATTATTATTACTATTATTATTATTTTAAAGCACTTGCCTTGTTACATAGTTTATTCCCAGATGTATATATTCCTTTCCAAAATACACGCAGCATTACAAAAACAGTCCCGTCGCATCAGGTTCCTGTCTTCTATTATTATTGTTGTTGTTGTTGTTATTATTATTTTAAAGCACTTGCCTTGTTGCATAGTCTATTCCCAGATCTACACATTCCTTCCCAACATTCACACAGCATTACAAAAATAGTCCCGTCCCATCAGGTTCCCGTCTTCTATTATTATTATTGTTATTATTATTATTATTATTTTAGAACACTTGCCTTGTTATATATTCTATTCCCAGATCTATACATTCCTTCCCAACATTCACACAGCATTACAAAAATAGTCCTGTCCCATCAAGGTCCCATCTTCTATTATTATTATTATTATTATTATTATTATTATTATTATTATTATTATTATTATTTTAAAGCACTTGCCTTGTTGCATAGTGTATTCTCAGATCTAGACATTCCTTCCCAACATTCATGCAGCGTAACAAAAGTAGTCCCATCCCCTCAGGGTCCCATCCCATATTGTTGTTGTTGTTGTTATTATTATTATTATTCTCATCATCATCATCATCATCATTATTATTTTAAAGCACTTGCCTTGTTACATAGTCTATTCCCTTTCCAAAATACATGCAGCATTACAAAAATAGTATCCCATCCCATCAGGGTCCCATCCCATATTATTATTATTATTATTGTTATTGTTATTATTATTATTAGTATTATTATTATTTTAAAACACTTGCCTTGTTGCATAGTCTATTCCCAGATCTATACATTCCTTCCCAACATTCACACAGCATTACAAAAATAGTCCTGTCCCATCAGGTTCCCGTCTTCTATTATTATTACTATTATTATTATTATGTTAAAGTACTTGCCTTGTTACATAGTCTATTCCCTTTCCAAAATACTTGCAGCATTACAAAAATAGTCCCATCCCATCAGGGTCCCATCTTCTATTATTATTATTATTATTATTATTATTATTATTATTATTATTATTAATTATTACAATTATTATTATTATTTTGAAGCACTTGCATTGTTACATAGTCTATTCCCTGATCTATACATTCCTTCCCAATACTAAGACAGCATTACAAAAATAGTTGGACCATCCCATCAGGGTCCAAACTTCTGTTGTTGTTGTTGTTGTTGTTGTTATTATTGTTATTGTTATTATTTTAAAGCACTTGCCTTGTTACATAGTCTAGTCCCAGATCTACACATTCCTTCCCAATATTGAGACAGCATTACCAAAATTGTCAGGGTCCAATCTTCTGTTGTTGTTGTTGTTGTTGTTATTGTTATTATTTTAAAGCACTTGCCTTGTTACATAGTCTGGTCCCTGATCTACACATTCCTTCCCAATATTGAGACAGCATTACAGAAATAGTCCCGTCCCAGAAATAAGAGGAATATGCCATTTTTGATAATAATAATAATAATAATAACAATCTTCTGTTGTTGTTATTATTTTAAAACACTTGACTTGTTACATAGTCTATTCCCAGATGTAGACATTCCTTCCCAATACTGAGACAGCATTACAAAAATAGTCCCATCACATCAGGGTCAATCTTCTGTTGTTGTTGTTGTTGTTGTTGTTGTTGTTGTTGTTGTTGTTTTAAAGCACTTGCCTTCTTGCATAGTCTATTCCCAGATCTACACATTCCTTCCCAATATTGAGACAGCATTACCAAAATTGTCAGGGTCCAATCTTCTGTTGTTGTTGTTGTTATTGTTATTATTTTAAAGCACTTGCCTTGTTACATAGTCTGGTCCCTGATCTACACATTCCTTCCCAATATTGAGACAGCATTACAGAAATAGTCCCGTCCCAGAAATAAGAGGAATATGCCATTTTTGATAATAATAATAATAATAATAACAATCTTCTGTTGTTGTTATTATTTTAAAACACTTGACTTGTTACATAGTCTATTCCCAGATGTAGACATTCCTTCCCAATACTGAGACAGCATTACAAAAATAGTCCCATCACATCAGGGTCAATCTTCTGTTGTTGTTGTTGTTGTTGTTGTTGTTGTTGTTGTTGTTTTAAAGCACTTGCCTTGTTGCATAGTCTATTCCCAGATCTATACATTCCCATTTCATCAGCATCACATCTTCTATTTTTATTTTTGTTTTTATATTTTTATCACAGTAGGAAGAAGTGTGTCCCATAATAATGAAATTATATAACTCTGCCCTAAATTGGCAGCCTTAATGACCTTTCCTTTTCCTAAATGGGGTTTATTCAGTTTGTCCTGACTTCCTGGGACAATTAAATATTAACAGTTCCTTGGCCGGCTTCATTTGACCTCTTCCAAAGTTCTTTGCAAACTCTCCAAACATTGGGTTGCTGTCAGTTTTCCAGGTTGTCTGGCCATGTTCCAGAAGCATTCTCTCCTGATGTTTCACCCACATCTATGGCAAGCATCCTCAGAGGTTGAGAAGTCTGTTGGAAACTAGGCACATGGGATATATATCTATATCTGCTACTAGATCCTTGGTCAATAGAGACACCACATCAAAGCTGATCGGTTTGACGTTGGTGTTGAGCTTGGGGCTTCTCAACACCAGTGACATCTCCAAACCATCACCCTTGCACCAGTTGAATTTCTAAAAATCCTCAAACCTTTTCTACTTCCCTTCTTCCAAGGAACCAAATCATGAGGAAGAAGCTGATTTTGTTCTTCAAGCGGAGGAACCACGCCAGGAAACAGCGGGTACGCACACATTTCCATCACTCAGTGCAACAGCATTATTATTGTGTTCATCTGGGGCTTGGGTATATTGGCGCAAACCTTCCCAAAATAAGAGGAATGTGCCATTTATTATTATTGTTATTATCATCATTGTGATCATCATCATCCCCAGGGCTTGGGTATAGCTGCTTGGAGACTCTTTCTGGAGAAATAATAATAATAATAATAATAATAATAATAATAATAATAATAATAATATAGGCCCAGACACTTCCAAAATAAGAGGAATGGGCTGTTTTATTAATAATAGTAATAATAGTAATAATAATAATAATAATAATAATAATATCCCTCTTTCCTCTCCTAGAGATTCAAAGAGTAGTAATAATAATAATACAATGGCCCAAACACTTCCAGAAATAAGAGGAAGGTGCCATTTTAATAATAATAATAATAATAATAATAATAATAATAATAATAATCATCATCATCATCATCATCATATTCTTCTTTCCTCTCCTAGAGAGGACTCAAAGACTAGTAATAATAATAATATATTGGCCCAAACACTTCCAAAAATAAGAGGAATGGGCAATTTTTGATGATGATGATGATGATGATTATTATCATTGTGATCATCATCATTCGCAGGGCTTGGGTATAGCTGCTTGGAGACTCTTTCTGGAGAAAAAGAATAATTTAATAATAATAATAATAGGCCCAGACACTTCCAAAATAAGAGGAATGGGCCATTTTAATATTATTATTAATTATAATAGTAATAATACCCTTCTTTCCTCTCCTAGAGGAGATTTAAAGACTAGTAATAGTAATAATATATTGGCCCAAACACTTCCAAAAATAAGAGGAATGTTCCATTTTATGATAATAATCATAATCATAATAAATCATAATAATATTATCCCTCTTTCCTCTCCTAGAAGAGACTCAAAGACTAGTAGTAATAATAATAATATATTGGCCCAAGCACTTCCAAAAATAAGAGGAATGGGCCATTTTTAATAATAATAATAATATCATCCCTCTTTCCTTTCCTAGAAGAGACTCAAAGACCAGTAATAATAATAATAATAATAATAATAATAATAATAATAATACATAGACCTAAACACTTCCAAAAATAAGAGGAATGTGCCAATTTTGTTGATGAAGATAATAATAATATCCCTCTTTCCTCTCCTAGAAGAAACTTAAAGACTAGTAATAATAATAATAATAATAATAATAATAATAATAATAATAATACATTGGCCCAAACAGTTCCAAAAATAAGAGGAATGGACCATTTTTATAATAATAATATCCCTCTATCCTCTCCTAGAAGAGACTCGAAAGACTAGTAATAATAATAATAATAATACATTGGCCCAAACACTTCCAAAAATAAGAGGAATGTGCCATTTTTGATAATAATAATGATAGTAATACTATCCCTCTTTCCTGGAAGAGACTCCAAGACTAATAATAATAATAATAATAATAATAATAATAATAATAATAATAATACAGTGGTCCAAACACTTCCAGAAATAAGAGGAATGGACCATTTTTGATAATAACAACATCCCTCTTTCTTCTCCTCGAAGTGACTCAAAGACTACTACTACTAATAATAATACATTGGCCCAAACACTTCCAAAAATAAGAGGAATGTGCCATTTTTGATAATAATAATAATAATAATAATAATAATAATAATAATACTATCCCTCTTTCCTGGAAAAGACTCGAAGACTAATAATAATAATAATAATAATAATAATAATAATAATAATAATACTATCCCTCTTTCCTCTCCTAGAAGGGACTCAAAGACTAGTAATAATAATAATACATTGGCCCAAACACTTCCAAAAATAAGAGGAATGTGCCATTTTTGATAATAATAATAATAATACTATCCCTCTTTCCTGGAAAAGACTCGAAGACTAATAATAATAATAATAATAATAATAATAATAATAATAATAATACTATCCCTCTTTCCTCTCCTAGAAGGGACTCAAAGACTAGTAATAATAATACTACATTGGCCCAAACACTTCCAAAAATAAGAGGAATGAGCCATTTTTGATAATAATCATAATCATAATATCCTTCTTTCCTCTCCTAGAGGAGACTCCAAGATTAGTAATAATAATAATACATTGGCCCAAACACTTCTTACTATTTATCTATATGTCTTGGGATGTTCAGGAGCAGAAGATCTGCCAGCGCTATGACGAGCTGATGGAGGCCTGGGAGAAGAAGGTGGACCGGATCGAGAACAACCCGCGCCGGAAGGCCAAGGAGAGCAAGACGCGGGAGTATTACGAGAAGCAGTTCCCAGAGATCCGGAAGCAGCGGGAGCAGCAGGAGCGCTTCCAACGGTAATGGCGCGCTCCCTCCGGATCGGTCTCGCCTGCGCCAGCGTATATAGGCACTTCCTAGACACCAAGGGGGGACTACGCCAGCGGTCGCACTTCTTCCTCTCTGAGCCGGGGCATTATTATTATATTTATTTAGATCCTTGCCTGATTTCGTATGGACTCGAGAGGAGTCTCTGGCAAAGATATTGATTTATTCCTGAGATTTCTCTGCCACCTTTCTCTAGAGCGGACCCCACGGCGGCTCACAACATATTTCAAAATGTACATTATAAAAAGCCATGTGTCATATTCAGAAGCCATGTGTCATATTCATATGTAATCTGAAAGATAACATAGCTTAAATTCCCGTATTTCAATGCCTGGGTATAGCCCCAATTCATCAGGGTCCTTTATTTATTTATTATTTACGGCATTTATATGCCGCCCTTCTCACCCCGAAGGGGACTCAGAGTGGCTTACAATATATATTTTCATACAATAATACATAATAATAATACAATAAATCTAGTCCGACTCTAAATCGAAGAGCCGGCGCTGTCCATAGACGCCTCCTAGGTCATGTGACTGGCATGACTGCATGGAGTGCTGTTACCTTCCCGCCAAAGCAATACTTATTGATCTCACATTTGCATGTTTTCGAACTACTATTTTGGCAGAAGCTGGGCCTAACAGCGGGAGCTCACCCCGCCCCCGGATTCGATTATTATAGTATAATATAATCTAATAATACATATGATAAATATAACAATTATACTTATTGTAATATCATATAATAGAGTTATAATACATATAATGAAAATATTATTTTGTTATAGTATTATAAATATTATAGTATAGTTATACATAATGTTATAATTAGAATATTACATTATTGTCACCTCAATACCTCTCCCCTTTTAATTTAAATTTAAATTTTTAAATTTTAATTTAAAGCAATCCTATTTTTGTGTTCTTACTGTTATTTTCCTTTCCCTGGTGTTATGTTTTGCCACCGCTGGCGTAGTGCGCTCGAACTTCCTTTGGTTTCCATGCTTGGTTTGCAATGCGATTGAGGGGCTGTGGAATTAGGAACAGATAGGAAGTTTGAGTTTGAGTTAGAGAAGCAACCCAAATCTCCTTTGCCTGCGTGGGATTTCTGGTCTCTGCAAGAAAAGAAATAAAAGGGGAAAAGGTTTTAAAGAAAGATCAAACTCTGCTGCGGTGGCGTTGGTGGCGTTGGCGGCCCTTTGCTTCCTTGTGCGCGCAAGCCGAAGCAAAGGCCCTTCTGTGCCCAGACGAGCGCGTCAGTACGTTGGCATTTCCATTGGGAACGTCTTGGCGTGTGTGTGTGTTTTTTTTCTCCTATCATTAGGGAGACCAGCAACAAAATGTTGCAGCGCGCAGAGCCTCCTGTCCAGGGTTCCAGCAGGTTAGTCAGCCGTGCCCTTCTCAGGATACTTCGCTCCGTGCGGCCCTCTTTCCTTTGGGTTGTGTTCTCTTGGTTTTTGTGTTTTCCTGCTTCCCGTTTTGGGCACATCGTGTGCCATCAGGTCCAGGTCCTTTGCCCTTTTCCAGCTCCTTAATGAGGAGCGCCATCAGGTCCCAGTCCTTTGCCCTTTTGCAGCTCTTTAATGAAGAGCACCATCAGGTCCAGGCATTGCCTCTTTTGCCGCACTTTAATGAGTGCCATCATGTCCCGGTCTTTTGCCCTTTTGCTGCTCTTTAATGAGTGCCATCAGGTCCGGGTCCTTTGCCCTTTTGCAGCTCTTTAATGATTATGCTTCACCGGGAAACCATCATAATCGGATTCCCTGCGTTTACATAGGCATGGCTTTGGTTTCTTGGTCATTGGAGACGTATCCCATCAATCCTGTCGAGTAGGGAACGTGTGCGAGAAGTTTTTTCGAGTTCGAAGAACTCCTGCTTCAAGCTGTCTGTGGCACCATTGAGAACATGGAAAGGCCCCGTTTGGCATGTGGTGTCTTCTAATTCCGTTGGTAGCTTTCTAAGCTAGGATTTTACTGCCCTGTGTTCCTTCTGTTAACTGTGCGAAGGGACGGCTGTATGTTTGAATCCAAGCTGGGAGACAGTTAACTTTGTTGGGATAATCATCCCCCAAATCCCTTTCCCAGGCCATTCAGAAAAAAGTAACTTTCCCCTAGCTCCAATGGTGCGAGTGAGTGGCTGCTTAGAATAGCTTGTCTGGTCAACCGGATGCCTTGAATATTACATTTTTTTAACAACTGAAAAGTCACCTGTCGTCAGAAGAGGTGGGTAAGAAATAAAATTATTTTATTTATATCCTGCTTTACCTCTCAATATGGAGATTTAAAGCATCTCACAAAAAAATTACAACTTAAAATATAGAAATATACAATAATAAAACAATATATCATTATATATTATTGCATAATATCACTAGTATTATATTTAATATAGTATTATTATATTACAGTATTTTTATTTTATATTATTGTATTGTATTATTAGTATTATATAGTGTTATAATACTATTATTAATATTATATGTGTATATAATATTAGTATAGCACACTATTATTATTATTATTATTAAGTGAAAAATTTGATGAACTCCAGGGCCCGTCATGCCTAGCCACCTGGGATCATCATCCGGACTGCTTGGGAATGATGGGAATCATCAGCCATCTTGGTTGGCTGCTTAGATTGGATATATATAGGAGCGCAAGAGTTTAAATCTCTGCTTCCTTGTTCAAGGCGTTTGACCATGATCACGGGGGGTGTAGTCCCCATAATCTTTACTTCTCCCCGGTTCCTCCAATCAAGTTTGCCTGGTGTTTTTTGAGAACTTCTATTCTCACAACGGGCCGACTCAGGCAAGGCCCTGCGCCGACCCTCGGGGTTATAGTTTCCCCTCCCGTTATTTTTTTTTTTCAGTCTGGATGTCGTCTTTTTCTCTCTTTTCTTTTCTCGTAACGTCCGCAGGGTTGGCCAGAGGGGGGCCGGGCTGTCCGCCACCATCGCGCGGAGCGAGCACGAGATCTCGGAGATCATCGACGGGCTCTCGGAGCAGGAGGTGAGTCCCCCTTGACGTGTGGTTGGTTGGACGCAGCCTCAACCACCGGTCGTTCCCTAGGCCTCGAGGGGGGGACGGGACGCTGCACTGCTTTGGGCTCCAGGCTCCAGCCTCATCCTTTCTTTATGGGCTCAGATGAAGAGTTTGAGGGCTCCCGGACAAACCTTTTAGCACATTGCTGACATTAGATAGGGCACAAGGATGGCCATGTGAGGCCTTAAAGCAGGGTTTCCCAACCCTTTCTTTCACCACTACAAAGAAAGGAAGGAAGACTTGGATTTAAAGGCTATAGCTGCCCAGGAACCCCTGCTAAGGAAGGAAGGAAGACTTGGATCTAGAGGCCATAGTCTTCCAAGATCCCCAGCTAAAAAAGGACGGAAGGAAGGAACACTTGGGTCTAGAGGCCATAGCCATCCAGGATCCCCAATGAAGGAAGGAAGGAAGGAAGGAACTTGGATCTAGAGGCCATAGCTATCCAGGATCTCCAGCTATCCTCATTTCATACCTGCCATCAAACTACAATGGATGGATGGATGAAAGGAAGGAGGGAAGAAGGGAGGGAAGGAAGAAAGACTTGGATCTAGAGGCCCTAGTTGTCCAGGATCCCCACCTATCGATTTAGAGTCCATAGCCTTTCAGTATTCTCATCTATCTTCCTTTTGTACCCTCCCCAAACTACAATAGATGGATGGATGGAGGGAAGGAGAGGAAAGAAGGAAGACTTGGATCTAGAACCCATAGCCTTCCAGGATCCCCAGCTATTTTCCTTTCATACCCTCCTTCAAACTATAAAGGATAGAAAGATAGAAAGATAGAAAGAGGAGGGAGGGAGGAGGGAGGGAGGGAGGGAGGGAGGGAAGGAAGGAAGGAAGGAAGGAAGGAAGGAAGGAAGGAAGAAGGAAGGAAGGAAGGAAGGAAGGAAGGAAGGAAGGAAGGAAGACTTGGATCTAGAGGCCATAGCCACCCAGGATCCCCAGCTATCTTTCTTTCGTACCTTCTCTCAAACTACAGTGGATGGATAGATAGGTGGATGGATGGAAGGAAGGAAGGAAGGAAGGAAGGAAGGAAGGAAGGAAGACAGGAAGGAAGATGGATGTAGAGGCCATGGCCATCCAGGATCCCCAGCTATCTTCCTTTTGTACCTGCTGTCAAACTACAGTTGGTGGATGGATGGAAGGAAGGAAGACTTGGATGTAGAGGCCATAGCCGTTCAGGATCCCCACCTATCTTCCTTTCATACCTGTCGTCAAACTACAATGGATGGAGGGATGGAAGGAAGGAGGAAATGAAGGAGTGAGGGAAAAAAAGAAAGGCAGACTTGGGATCTAGAACCCATAGCCTTCCAGGATTCTCAGTTATCTTCCTTTCGTACCCTCCCTCAAACGACAATGGATGGGTGGATGGAGGGAGGGAAGGAAGGACTTGGATCTAGAAGCCATAACCTTTCAGGATCCCCACCTATATTCCTTTCACACCTTCCCTCAGACTACAATGGCTGGATGGATGGATGGAGGAAAAGAAGGAAGGGAGGGAGGGAAGGAAGGAAGGAAGGAAGACTTGGATCTAGAGGCCATAGTCTTCCAGGATCCTCACCTATATTCCATTTGTGTGTGCCCTCATAATACAATGGAAGGAAGAAGGAAAGGGAAGGGTGTGGGAGGGAGGGAAGGGTGTGGGAGGGAGGGAGGGAGGGAGGAAGAGGTGGATCTAGAAGCCATAGCTATCCAGGATCCCCACCTATTTTTCTTTCGTACCTACCATCAAACTACAATTGATAGACTGATGGACGGACGGAAGGGAGGAAGGAAGGAAGAAGACTTGAATCTTGAGGCGATAGCCTTCCAGGATCTTCACCTATCTTTCCTTTGTACCTGCCCTCAAACTACAATGGATGGGATGGAAGGATAGAAGAAGTGCAGGCAGGCAGGAAGAAGACGTGGATGAAGAGACGATAGCTTTCCAGGATCCTCATCTACCTTCCTTTTGTACCTTTCCTCAACCTACAATGGGTGGATGGAAGGAAGGAAGATGGACTTGGATCTAGAAGCCATAGCCTTCAAGAATCTTTAGCTATCTTCCTTTCATACCCTCCTTCAAGCTATAATAGATGGATGGAAAGAGGGAGGGAGGGAAGGAAGGGAGGGAGGAAGGGAGGCAGACTTGGATCTCGATGTCATAGCCTTCCGGAATCCTCATCTGGCTTCCTCACATGACTGACCCATGCTAGGGTGGGAGAGTGGAAGGAGGCACTGAAAAAGGTTCTGTTCCTGGTTTGAAAGTGTTATTTCCTGTTTCGTTGTGCGGTCCTTCCTTTGAATGGGAATTCAGATCAGGCAGCACTGCGAAGCTGTGAGGATATCGAGTCCTCCTCCAGTTCATGGTTAGACCACACCTGGAATATTGTGTCCAATTCTGGGCACGACAATTCAAGAGAGATATTGACAAGCTGGAATGTGTCCAGAGGAGGGCAACTAAAATGATCAAGGGTCTGGAGAACAAGCCCTATGAGGAGCGGCTTAAGGAGCTGGGCATGTTTAGCCTGAAGAAGAGAAGGCTGAGAGGAGATATGATAGCCATGTATAAATATGTGAGAGGAAGCCACAGGGAGGAGGGAGCAAGCTTGTTTTCTGCTTCCCTGGAGACTAGGACGCGGAACAATGGCTTCAAACTACAAGAGAGGAGATTCCGTCTGAACATGAGGAAATACTTCCTGACTGTGAGAGCCGTTCAGCAGTGGAACTCTCTGCCCCGGAGTGTGGTGGAGGCTCCTTCTTTGGAAGCTTTTAAACAGAGGCTGGATGGCCATCTGTCAGGGGTGATTTGAATGCAATATTCCTGCTTCTTGGCAGGGGGTTGGACTGGATGGCCCATGAGGTCTCTTCCAACTCTTTGATTCTATGAAAGTAGTTTTTATACACCAGAAACTTTGTTTTTGTGTCACCAACTATGTTGAATTAGTTGAGAACTCTATCAGGATGTCCCTCCCACGAAGACAAAGTTTGTGCATTTTAGTAAACTTTTTCCATGTGTCTGGGATAGAACCAATTAGGGAATGACATTGATCACCCAGGAACACGGATGGTGTTGCGTGGCGTGCTCAGTAATAATAATTTTTAATAATAATCTTTATTTGTACCCCGCCACCATCTCACAGAAGCACTCCAAGTGCCAAGTGCAGACAACAACACATAAGTATAAATACAATGATAGAAGTATAAATACAAGGCTTCCTTTGCCTCACAGAACAACGAGAAGCAGATGCGCCAGCTCTCGGTCATCCCGCCCATGATGTTTGACGCAGAGCAGCGGCGGGTCAAATTCATCAACATGAACGGCCTGATGGAGGACCCCATGAAGATCTACAAGGACCGGCAGTTCATGAACGTCTGGACTGACCATGAGAAGGAGATCTTCAAAGAAAAGTAACACACATTTCTGGCTGGTTTTCTTTTGTTTTCAAAGCGAGAGTACATCAGTACTTCAAGTTTGCTATGCTAGGCAATTTTGCTCTAGATGCATCATTGGGGGGTTCGGTGTGCTCTCTGGCTGTAGGGTAAACTACAACTCCCACTCTGGTGAGTCAGTCCCCTCAAATCCCTCCAGTAGGTTGAGTTCGTCATGGGGCTTCTGTGTACCAAGTGTGGTCCAGGTCCATTATTACTGGAGGTCACAGTTTCTCTGGTTGTGGGTGAACTACAACTCCCAGATAGGAAAGTTAGTTTCCCCAAACCCCTCCAATAATCAAATTTCATGCCAAGTTTGATTCAGATCTATCAGTGTTTGGGTTCACAGTACTCTCTGGATAAAGATGAACTACAACTCCCCCAACTCAACTACAACTGAACTACAACTCAAGGAGAATTTTCCCCAAAGACCTCCAGTATTTTAACGAACATAAACTTAGCAGTATTTCAGTGGAAGAGAGAGTCAGGAACACTGGGATGTCCATGGTGGAGTAAACACATAAAACCTAGGATGAAATTGTCTCACCTTCACTTGGGTGTGGGCAGTATGAGGGAGGGCCATTGGTGGCTTTCTTGTAGGCGAGGATCACCCCTGCCACATACACATATATATTTCCCCTTTTATTATGTGCATAGATTGTTACTATTGTATTATTATTATTATTATTATTATTATTATTAGGAGAGAAAGTTATGTAACAAGTAAATTTTATTATTGTTATTATAGTTTTATTATTGTTGTCAACCACTAGGAAGACAGAAAGTCCAGTTACAAATAATATTATTATATTTTTATTATTGTTATTAGGAGGAGAGAAAGTTGGGTAACAAGTAATTATTATTTTTATATTTTTTTGTAATTAGGAGGAGAGAAAGTTGGGTAACAAGTAATTATTATTTTTATTATTGTTATTAGGAGGAGAGAAAGTGAGGTAACAAGTAATTATTATTGTATTTTTCTTGTTATTAAGAAGAGAAAAGTTGAGTTACAAGTAAAATTATTATTAAATTTTAATTGTGTTAGGAGGAGAGAAAGTCGAGTTACAAGTGATATTATTGTTATTATAATATTTTTATTGTTAGGAGAGAAAGTCAAGTTACAAGTGATATTATTATAATATTTTTATTGTTATTAGGAGGAAAGTCGAGTTATAAGTAACATTATTCTATTTTTATTGTTATTAGGAGAGAAAGTTGGGTAACAAGTAGTTATTATATTTTATTGTTATGAGGAGGAGAGAAAGTTGGGGGACAAGTAATTATATTATTATTATTATTATTATTATATTTTTATTTGAAAGAGAAATTGAAAGTGTCTTTGGAATAAGTGGAAAACTTGATTTTTTTTCTCTCTGTGTGTTTTTTACAGGTTTGTCCAGCATCCAAAGAACTTTGGCTTAATTGCGTCTTATTTAGAAAGAAAGGTAAGGATGTGTGTGTGTAGTGGTTTTTTTTTTGGGAAGAGGCAAACTATAGGAAAGTTTTGGAAAGTTCCTTCCTTTTCCTGTAAGTCAGTGGCACTTCCCTTTACTAAACAGAGTGAAAGTGTATATCATATTTTTGAAAAGCTCTTTTGTTTCTCCTCTTTAGAACGTTCCGGACTGCGTCTTGTACTACTACCTGACCAAGAAGAACGAAAACTATAAGGCTTTGGTGCGTCGCAACTACGGCAAGCGGCGCGGGAGGAACCAGGTACGTTGAGGCTATTTTACAATTAATACTTTCCTTGGAAAACCTATATTTTTTATTAACGTCTTGCTGGCAGTGATGGTCTCAGTTTCCTATTTTTTATTTTTGGGTTGGAAACTGAATTTATTTATTTATCATGTCAGAAGCAAATTGAGGGTACAGTTATGTATTTAAGAACACAAAGTTAAAAACTTGGCGTTCTACTAAATGTCTGTCAGGAGTCAATTTCTGACGGCATGAAGGCATCACAAATTCCCTCCGTGACATCGTGATTGAATCATTTTGGCTGAATCAATTCTCTCTCTGTGACATTTTGAAAACTCACATGTTGTGGAACTTGTGAAGCAACAAGTTCTAATAAGGAAACTGAGAAGAGGGGGAGATGGGCAGGAAAGGTGTATAAAAGGAAGTGGTGGTGGGAAAAAATCAGTAGTGTCTTTCTTTGCTGCAGAGATACAAGCAATATATCCATTTCAAAGCAGAATGGCTTGTGAGTGGTTATTTAATATTGCTATATAGATCCTACAGTCTGACAATGTCCTTTGACCAGTAGCTGGCCACTTGGAGTGCCTTTGGTGTTGCTACAAGGAGGTCCTCCATTCTGAATTCTGCTCATGATGATGATCATGTTGGGAATGATGTTCATGTTGATGTGTATATTGGGAATGATGTTCAAACTACAAGAAAAGGAACATCTGAACATTAGGAAGAACTTCCTGACTGAAAGAGCCGTTCAGCAGTGGAACTCTCTGCCCCAGATTGTGGTGGAGGCTCCTTCTTTGGAAGCTTTTAAGCAGAGCTGGATGGCCATCTGTCAGGAGTGATTTGAATGCAATTTTCCTGCTTCTTGGCAGGGGGTTGGACTGGATGGCCCATGAGGTCTCTTCCAACTCTATGATTCCATGATTCCTCATGCAGGGCTTGAGAATGCAGGTTTCCCCAGGGCGGAGCTAAGTCCAGAAGAGAGGCCTGAGCAAGGCCACATTCCTGGGAAAGACCTTTAACCGCTTTTCTCAGAGCAGCAGCTTGAAAACGATACTGAGATTGCTTTGCCAGGTGCAGGAGGAGATGATAGTGAAACAAAGTTTTTGTAAACAGAGGCAGAACTTTCAGAATCTCAGGCGTTCTGCTCAATTACAAAAATAGAAAAATAACAAAATGTTATGTAGTGAGAAAGTGAGAAAGAACACTTTCGTGGCAGTTCCAACCTTTGAAAAGGGTTTATAATGATTCATGGGAGACCAGTGTCTCAGTCGAGGCAACCTCTTTAATTCATGCTCTATGTTTCATGTATTTAGTTGTTGCCAAGTCTTACATTTTTGCCTGAGTGTTCCATGTTTTCAAGTGCCTTGCTTCATGGATTTCTATGTATGAATGGACCTGGATTCTTTTTAAAGTTTATGGATTATTTTGGATTTTTACTTTTTTTACTATTTGTTACTGCTTTGGCTACGTATATTCTACAATAAACTGCTTGCTGATTTTACCAAGCTGGTGTGGTGTTTCAAATCAGAGGTGTTCCTGCTCTGGAGTCCAATAGCTGGCTGCTACTTCCTGGTGGATGTCGGGTGGTGCAATACTGGCTAAACAGTAGAATTTTTCCAGAGCTGTAGGGCGTCGACATCCTGTGATAATGCACCATGTCTCATTAAGAGCCACATCCATTGTTTTAATGGGGTGAGATGTATTCTACACTGGGCATGTGTATTTATCAGCAGAGTAGTAAAGTGCAAGGGCAGATGCCTTCACTGTGTCTGGTTGTGATCCCCAGGTTGTGACGGTCAGGTTTCATATGATATTATTTCTAGCACCCATTTTTTGCTTGATATTCAGACAGTGTGCTTGTAGGTTAGAGCACGGTCCAGGGTAACTCCCAGGTATTTGTGTGTGCTGCAATGTTCCAGTGGGATTCCTTCCCAGGTCATCCTCAGAGCTCGAGATGCTTAAGGTGAAAAGCACACGTTTGCATTTTAGATGGATTAGGAATCAGCTATTTTTCCCTGTAATAGGCAGTAAGAGCACCTAAAGCTTCAGAGAGCTTCTGTTCCACCATTTCAAAGCTCCCTGCTTGAGCGGTGATGGCAGGATCGTCTGCATAGATGAAACTCTCTGTCCCTTCTGGCAGTGGTTGGTCATTTGTGTAAATGTTAAACATGGAAGGAGCAAGCATGCTCCGCTGAGGCAGGTGGAAACTGGAGAGATATGTTTCTTTCATCTATATATTTCCTCGATCATTCATTCTCTTTTCCCGGTTGTCAATGGTATATTTTTCTGGTATCTTTTCCGTTGGATATTTTGCGGTGCTCTAGCGTTGTTGGATGTGTTTTGTCTTCTCAATACATATGTGTGTGTGTATAAAGAGTTTACATGGTTTTTGAAAACACCCAGGCCCTATCTACACTGCCAGACTTAATCTGCTTTGTACTGGATTATCTGGCAGTGTAGACGCATATCATCCAGTTCGAAGCAGGTGATCTGGATTATTGTTTATGACAATCTGGATTATATGGCAGTGTAGATCCAGCCTGAAACCCCTTCTAGACTGCCATATATAATCTAGATTATGTGTTTCGGATTATATGATATGACAGTGTAGACTCATATAATCCAGTTCAAATCATATAATGTGGATTATCTTCTGATAATCCGAATTATATGGAAGTGTAGGAAAGGCCTTAGAGGGCTTTGATGGTGTCCTCCTGCGTGGCATGAACTAACTGATATTTATGAGTGTGGATGGCCATCTGTCGGGAAGGATGGAATCCTCTTGCCTGGCATAAACTAGATTATATCTATAGCCTCCTCTGTAAACCTCCATTGATGGTGTGAATGGCTGTCTGTCCAGAGGACTTTGATGACGTCCTGCTTGGCATAAACTTGCCGGTATCTATTAATTTGGATGGGCATCTGTCGGGAAGGCTTTGATGGTGTTCTGTTTGGCATAAACCTGCCAGTACCTATGAGTGTGGATGGGCATCTATCGGGTGGACTTTCATGGGGTCCTCTTGCCTGGCATAGACCTTCTGATATTTATTGCCTCCTCCTTAGACTTACATAGATCTATGAGTTTGAATGGTCATCTGTTGGGAGGGTTTGATGGGATAAACCTGCTGGCATCTATGTGGATGGCCATCTGTTGGGAGGGCTTTGATGGGGTCATCCTGCTTGGCATAAACCTGCCGGTATCTATGTGGATGGCCATTAGTTGGTAAGGCTTTGATGGTATTTTGCTTGGCATTAGCCTGGTATCTATGAGAGTGAGTGGCCATCTGTCGGGAAGGCTTTGATAGAGTCCTGACTGGCATGAGCCTGGTATCTATTAAGAGTGAGTGTCCATCTGTCGGGAGAGCTTTGACATAGTGCCCTGCTTGCCATAAGCCTGGTATCTATGAGAGTGAGTGGCTATCTGTTGGGAGGACTTTGATAAGAGTCCTGCCTGTCATAAGCCCGGTATCTATTAGAGTGAGTGACCCTCTGTTGGGAAGGCTTTGATAGAGTCCTGCCTGGCATAAGCCTGGTATCTGTGAGAGTGAATGGCCATATGTTGGGAGGGCTTTGATAGTGTCCTGCCTGGCATAAGCCTGGTATTTGTGAGAGTGAGTGGCCATCTGTTGTAATAGTGTCCTGCCTGGCATAAGCCTGGTATCTATTAGAGTGAGTGGCCATCTGTCGGGAGGGCTTTGATAGTGTCCTGCTTGGCATAAGCCTGGTATCTATGAGAGTGTGTGGCTATCTGTTGGGAGGGCTTTGATAGTGTTCCCTTCCCACTCTGTGCTTCCAAACCAAGCCAGCAGGTGGCCGCTTCCTTCTAGTCCGGAGATAAACAATAAAGCGGCCCAGACTGCCACCGGATTGACACCCGGGAGAGCCAATCCCAGCTGGGAGGGGAGTGGGCGGGGCCTTGGAGGCTCACCTCGCGTGACCCCGTCCAGATTAGAAACTCTGCCTGGGAGACGGAGACGGACAGGGCAGCGGCTGGCCGGCCGGCCTTTGCTCCACTTCTCGCCCTCTTTGGCCTCTTCTAGGAATCCTCCAACCCTATTATTATCAGTAGTAGTATTACTGTTAATGTTATTAGTAATATTATTGGGGGAGACCCTTCAAAATCCCCCCCAAAAGACCCTTTTATTATTTTCCCCCGGGCTCCAAATACTAGGCCTTGTTTTTAAAAGGCGGCAGATAGATGAGCTGGCAGGTACGTCGGTGGGTGACGCTCCCTCCGATTGAAGGTTTGTGTTTCTCGAGATATGCTCTGATTCTTCTCTTCCTTCCTCCTTTGGCGGGTTGCCTCTCCTTTCCTTACCTGGATTTATTTTGTGCCTCTTTGTTTCCCTGAAGACACTTTGCAAACTTCCTCAAAAGGAACTTTGCTAAAGTGGACCGCCATCGAAGCATTCCTGCAAAAGCTGGGAAATGCCCATGGCAATTGTAATGTGTGTGTATATACACACACACACCTATATATGTGAATGGCCATCTGTTGGGAGGGCTTTGGTAGTGTTCTGTTTGGCATAAGCCTGGGATCTATGAGAGTGAATGGTCATCTGTCGGGAGGGCTTTGATAGTGTCCTGCTTGGCATAAGACTGGTATCTAAATATATGTTGTGTATATATATGTGTGTGTGTTTGTGTGATATATATGTATTATATATTATATGTTAATGTATATTTAGCAATAATATAATATATATTGTTATATTGTTATATTGTAATATTAATATTATATATATGACTATATTATAATATTACTATATGTGTGTAATATATATGCGTGTGTGCATTTTATACTAGATATATTAATATACTTTAGTAATTATATATATATATATATATATATAGTTATAGTGTAATATTAATATCACACTGGCATTACAGTATTACACATATATAGTAATACTGTAATATAGTATTACAGTATTACTATATATGTGTGTGTAATATATTATGTATACTATATATATTATTAATATATGTTTAGTAATAGTATAATATACATAGTAATG